TCAGACTGGTCTTGAACTCCTGAGCTCAAGAAATCCACCTGCCTCAGCCTGCCAGAGTGCTAAGATTATAGGCGTGAGCTACTGCCTGTAGTTTTGTTGTTACTCCCTTTTTGTTTTGTTTTGTTTTGTTTTTTAACAGAGAAGTATTTTACATGGCTTTTTAAAGACATCTTCCATCTTAAGAAATTTGGCACATATATGGTTAGACTGACTTGGCTACTTTTCAACAGATTTGTTGGTTGGCTGGCAAGAGTTTAGAATGTCTGAAATAATGGTATGATGAACTACCTGGTATTTAAATTCACCAGGGAGGACAAGATATCTGTCCATCTAAAACATACTACAGCTTTTCTTTACCTCTTTGTAGTAGAGAGTTTTTGCTTGAATAATGATAGAAACATAAGGACTGGAATCAATCACATCACCAACACTGTAGAAGGTGACAGTGGAAGGGTCTGAGGTTTGTTCTGAGGACCATAGTGGTGGCCTGAAAGGGGGTAAGGAGTCTAATTAAGCAAGACTCTGAGTGCTCTCATTCCAGACTCAAGCATTTCAGCCAAGAGCAAACCTGCTTTTGTCCATTTTATATGATGATCAGCTGAAGAAATTTATAAACAAAAGTTCTGCTTCTAAATAAAATTTTGGCCTATCATTCTAATCTGACTTCTCATTTACAGTTAAAGAGGCTCTGAAAGTTAAGTGATTTGCTCTTGAGAGAAGTCACTAAGAGATCTGCTGAATGGCTCCTAATTTTCAAAAAAGATTTTGAGGAAAAGGAATGTCCCAAGTAGAGCTAAAGGCATAGGTGGGAAAACCTACAGTAATAGGATGCTTAGATTTTTTCTTTTTTTTTCGAGACAGAGTCTCAAGCTATCGCCCTGGGTAGAGTGCTATGGCTCATAGCTCACAGCAACCTCCAACTCAGGCTCAAGCAATCCTCTTGCCTCAATTTTTCTATTTTTAGTAGAGACGGGGTCTCGCTTTTGCTCAAGCTGGCCTCAAACTCATCAAGCAATACACCTACCTTGGTGTAATCCCAGAGTGCTGGGATTACAGGCATGAGCCACCACACCTGGCCAGGTTGCTTAGTTTTTCTAATTTACAAAGCCTAATGCATTCATATTACTTGATCTTTACAGCAGACTTGTGAAGCAGGCAGTATAGGTACATATTATTAACACCAGTTTACAGACGAGGAAACTGACACCAGGCTAGGTCCAGTGACATAAACAAGGCCTGGACTGGAACTCTTAATGCTCTGACCTTGAACCCAGTGATTTTTATATTACACCACACTGCAGACTAAAGAAACATGAGGAACAAATGTGTCAACATATCTTAGAGACACGAGTTGGTAGTGGGTAGGAGATTCACACACATTCTGGTGCCTGAGGATAGGATTTGGCAATTGTGTGCATTTCTCCAAACTTATCCTGTGCTGTCACTGCTCCCAGTCTGAATCAGGCACATTGCTGCTATTGGGAGAATATTTGAGCATACTCTTTCATATGCTATTTTAGCAACAGCAATTTGCTAATTATGAAGACAAAATTATCTTATTAGATCATAAGGAAATCTGCCTTTTGGTTTGCCAGGCTTTTGTTTCTGCTGGTTAAAATTTTCTGGTGCTCCTTAGAAGAATTTACTTAGCCAAAATGTTTAATGGGTAAGAAAACGTAAAGATAAGTTTTCTTCTAGGGTTGGTCCAACTTTTTCTTTTGTTTTCTTTTACTTTTCTCCTCCCAGCCTCTACTCTTATCTACATCCCTAATATTTATTGTTGAAAATGTAAAATCTCTTTTCAAGGGTAAAATTGAACTTTAAAAGAAATGGATTTTATTTATTTATTTATTTATTTTGGAGACAGAGTCTCACTCTGTCACTCTGGGTGTAGTGTTCTGGTGTCATAGCTCACAATAACCTCAAACTCCTGGGTTCAAGGGATCCACCTGCCTTAGTCTCTTGAGTAACTGGGACTACAGGCACCTGCCACAACATCTGGCTAGTTTTTCTCTTTTTAATAAAGACAGCATCTCACTTTTGCTCAGGCTGGTGGAAAACTCCTGAGTTTAAGCAATCCTCCTGACTCAGCCTCCCAGAGCGCTAGGATTATAGGCATGAGCCACTACACCTGGCTAAAGGAAATAAATTTAACCTTACAACATAGTATTCAACGTTGTAAATAACAACAGATTGAAACATGTTAGAGATTAGGTTGTAAAAATGATATATAACATTTGAAGAAAAAAATGAGGCTTTCTAGAGAAATAACTGTGGGGTACTTTTCAATAGAATGTATGATCCAGGGTGAAGTTTGAGGTTAAAAGTCATATTTGGCTAGTTTGCCTTTCCTGATACTCTAAGGAAAGGTCCTAAAGGATTAATTAAAGGATCTATTAACAGGTAATTTATTAATTAACAATTAATTAATTGTATAAATTACAGAGAAGTCATTTAAACTAAGCTCAGACAATACAACCCAGCACAGTTAAGTCTATCCTGAGAAAACATAAACATAATATCTGAGAAATTGCTGCTATATTTATAAAGTAGGGTTAATAGACAAGTTCTCTCTTCTTGAGGAAACTGTCTAGATGTCTGGCTTCTACAGGCCAGATTGATAGACGATGGGGTGAGGCGTAGAAAAATAACCTGATCATGGTGATGAGGTCACATCTTTCTCTTTACTTTGCCCAAGAGAGTACAATATGTGACTATCTTAATGGATCCTTCTGTCTCTTGGAATTAGGCAAAGTTGAGAAAGACAGAAAACAGCCAATAATAGCGCCTTAAGCCAGATATAAATTCATTTCTCTCTCACATAAATGAAGTCTGGAAGTGAGCAGTCCAGAGTTGGTGTGACAGTTTTGCCATCATCAAGGACACAGTTGCCTGTTGCTCTGCTAGCTTCAGTACATGGCCTCCACCTAATGGCCCAGAGTCACTGCCTGAGCTTCAGTCGTCATGTTTTATTTCCAGCTTAAATGAAGGAAACAGAGATAAAGATGGCTGCCCTGTCTCCCTTTAAGGAGTCTTCCAGGAAATCCCGAGGGACAATTTTGTTAACATCTCATTGATCAGAATTTAGTCACATACCTAACAGCAAGGGAAGCTTTTTCTTTCCTATTGGTGTGCCTATAAGCCCCAAAGTCAAGATTCTATGTAGGAAGGTCAGGGGAGTAGCTATTTGAGATTGTGTCTGATACAAGTCTCCTCTTTCCACCACCATTTTGGTTAGCAGTTGCCAACTGCTTAGACTTATGCTGTATGAGGTTGCTTGAAATCTTCCCCTGCCCCCATCTGAACTCAAACATAAACAAATCCCTGCTCCTCCAGTCCTGTAGAAAAGAAGTGAACTTGAGGAGTTTAATTTTTGATCCTGTAACTTGCTAGGAGATGCATAATAAGATGTTGGACTACATGTAAGTTGTTCCTGGTGGAACTCTTAAAGAACTGAAACCTTCAGAAGAAAATGCTATGGCATCACCACTATATCCCTAAATACACAAGCCTCAATTTAAATGTTATCAAAAATGGCAGATGATCCAAATAACCATATTCAAAGCTGGTATGTACTGTGATATTTTTCTAAGAAAAAAATAACTCAGGCAATTCAAAACAAGGAAACATCGCTAAGCATCCTATAATTTGTTTTCTAGCAAAAGATTATGGGAATACTAGTTGAAGCCAGAACAAATCTGAATAAAGCCAATTTTCACTTCAAATGCATTCAAAGGAGAATCAAGGTCTATATGGTGAAAAGTGCCAAAACAACGAGTATAGATAGAACTGAACTTAAAAAATTATTTTATAAAAATTTATTAAAGATAGTAGGGTGTGGTGGTTCATGCTTGTAATCATAGCACTCTATTGAGCTCAAGCAATGATTTTGGGCAATTAGGTAGAGTAAGACCCTGCCTCTACAAAAAATAGGAAAATTAGCTGGGTATTGTAGCAGGCACTTGTAGTCCCAGCTACTGGGGAGGCTGAGGCAGGAAGATGGCTCAAATCCAGGAGTTTGAGGTTGCTGTGAGGTAGGCTGAGGCCATAACACCCCAGCCTAGGCAACAGAGTGACGAACTGTCTCAAAAAACAAAAAAAATTTGTCAAAGGAAGTATTAAATTACAATTTTCATCCTTACAAAGAGGATTGTACTTACCGTTGTACTCTATGATCTCAGAACTAGGAATCTGGGATTAAGAGTCATGGTTTGTCCAGCAAGACTAAGTGAAAAGAGCATAAGTGTAGGACTCAGAGAACACCCATTTAAAGCTCCGCTCTGTCACTTACCGTCTGGGCCTTTGAGTAGATTACTTAACTTTTCTCAATTTACTTTGTTCTCTGAGCTTTGAGAATAATGCCTACCTCTCAGGGTTGTTTTGAGGATTAAATGAGACAACATAAATATTGGGCTTGGCACATAGAAGGTATTCAAAAACTGGATGTAATTATTACCAACTATTGTGCTATTTCCAGGATGGATTAAGTTCTAGACAATGCTTTGGGGAGTGCACATAGAAAAAGAGCAAGATGGGCTCAGCACCTGTGGCTCAAGTGGCTAAGGCGCCAGCCACATACACCTAAGGTGACGAGTTCGAATCCAGCCCAGGCCCGCTAAGCAACAATGATGGCTGCAACCAAAAAATAGCCAGGCGTTGTGGTGGGCGCCTGTGGTCCCAGCTACTTGGGAGGCTGAGGCAGGAGACTCACTTAAGCCCAGGAGTTGGAGGTTGCTGTGAGCTATGATGCCACAGCACTCTACCCAGGGGGACAGCTTGAGGCTCTGTCTCAAAAAAAAAAAAAAAAGAAAAAGAAAAAGAAAAAGAGCAAGACATAGGCATGTCCACTGCTTGCTATGGTCCATCCGCTTGGTCTTAGCACTTTATTTAGCAAGGTGGATTTTTATTTATATTCCTTCAAGGTAGTTATCATTCTTATGGGCCCCCTCTTACAATTCAGGAAACTGAGGCACAGAAAGGTTGAGACACGTGCCCAAGGTAAAGCAGGTTGCAATTCTGCTTCATTTTGTGGAGTATAGTCATTATCTTGCTGAAAAATATCTGTGTTAATCATTTTTACTTTGTCTCTATGAGGATAAAATAATGACAAAATGACATGGACAATTCTGAGGGGGGAGGGAACCCAAACTAAACAAACAAAAAACTTGTCCAAGGTTACACAAGTGACAAAGCTGAGGTGTCTCACTGTTATACTACATCACGACAAATAACTGAGTTATTTAATCTGTGAACCATACATGAAAGAAAGGACTCTCTGACTTTCAGAGATTAACTTTTGGTGCAATAATAATAGCCGCCATAATGCCCGGCTATTTTTCGAGAAGAGGTCTTACTCTGGCTCACACTGGTCTCAAATTCGTGAGCTCAGGCAATCCACCAGCCTCAGCCTCTCAGAGTGCTAGGACTACAGGTGTGAGCCACCACGCCCAGCCATACTTTATATTTTTTGATGGAAAATATATTTGGATATTTTGAATACAATTGCTTTAAAAAATATTTTTTGGGTCATTGAGAAGGAGCACAAGTGAAGGCCATGATAGAAGGAGAAAATAGAAAAGTGAAATTCAGAACAGAAAAAGGGGAAGAGAAAATTGATGACAGTAGAAGGACATCATTTCTTTCTGAAAGTTGGATAACTTGACATATAACTTAAATAGTCAGACAAATGATGTTGTAGTTCTCTATGTATCATGTGGTCTCACCACCACAATCTTGGGGGTGGCCTTTCAGGCAGAATTCATGTACCATTGTCAAAGCAAGCCCTTTTGGGCCTGTCTAAAATAATATAACTTTTCTCACAAATGGAGAAAAATCACAATAGCAAAAATATCAGCATGTTTCTAAAATAGGATTAGCTTGAAAAAGATTACATGACAGAGCTAGGTGTTTTAAGTATTCTACAACTTTCTTGGGGGAAAAAACATCCATGTAGAAAATCTCTATAGTATGCTTAGAAGTAAGGAATGATTGCCAAGACAAAAATCTTCAAGGAGGAAAAGCAGATCAAGAAGTGTTTCTATTAATTGGTCAATGAATAAATGCGTAATAATATTCATGTCACACGCCCCAGCAAAAAATGATGTTTGAAGAGAGGAAAGCCAACACCAGTGAAAGATGTGGTCCCGCCACCAGGAATTTTACAGTCTAATTGATCTAATTGTAGAGATAAGCAATGCACAGTCCAAACAATTAGAGGATTGACTCTAAAAGAATTGTGAGGTTCAACAAGTATTATGGAGGATCAACGTAGAGAAAGACTAGTGTGGTCTTGAATTATTCTGCACAAAGGGCTTCATAGAGAGTACTGGGATGAGTCTGATAATAATCCCTCCAATGGAGTTAGGAAGGGCCTTATAGATTCAAGGAAATCACATGAACTGTAAACTGTATTTTATTTTTGGGGGGGGTGCAGTTGTCATTGTTGTTTAGCAGGCCTGGGTTGGGCTCAAACCCACCACCTTCAGTGCATGTGGCTATAAACTGTATTTTAAAATAGACAAAAGGTCTGGCAAGAGGTGGAGAGAGAGGGGATTGTGTTCTCAGGTAATAGGCCCAATGTGAAGGTACATGGCACACCTCCTGGGTGAGAGGCATGACTACAACAGGGACTTCACCAAATATAAACCGTGTAACCGAATTGTTTGTACCCTCATATTCATCTGAAATTAAAAAAAAAAAAAATACAGAATGCCATCTGTCTCCTTCCTCCTCCATAGCAGCACTGTGAATGTTCCTAGTGTTATCTAGTCCTATTTTTTTAATCAATAATAAAACTGTGACTTGTGTATATGTATATGTGTGTGAAGATCATTAAATTGAACCATTTTTTCCTTTCTGACTTTGTAAACAGCTGCAAGATAGATATCAGAGTCAGATGACTAGAAATTTACATCTCTTGTCCTATGTCCTTATATGAAAAGGCAACAGAAAGATAAATGCTGTGAAGTCTTGGCTCGGCGCCTGTGGCTCAAGCAGCTAAGGCGCCAGCCACATACACCTAAGGTGGCGGGTTCAAATCCCCAGCCCGGGCCCGCCAAACAACAATGATGGCTGCAACCAAAAAATGGCCAGGCGTTGTGGCAGGTGCCTGTAGTCCCAGCTACTTGGGAGGTTGAGGCAGGAGACTCGCTTGAGCCCAGGAGTTGGAAGTTGCTGTGAGTGTGATGCCATGGCACTCTACCCAGGGGGACAGCTTGAGGCTCCGTCTCAAAAAAAAAAAAAAAAAAATGCTGTGAAGTCTTATGGATTGCTCCACCACCCAATTTGGAGATGAACAATTCAAAGGATTTGAATAACAGAATCACTCTTCTGACCAGCTCTTCAGATCCTTCCTCTCAGACAGCAAGAGAAAAGAGAGTTCTGGATGATGCAGTTTCTTTTCTAGTTCACAAAGCATTCATATCCTGGCTTTTCTTCACTTATCTTTTATCCTTCATAAAACACTTGTTGAACCTTCACATTTGATTGGTGGGAAAAAGCTAAATTGGAAGATAAGTCTTGATATGTGTCCACATTTCACCTCCAAATTTGACGGACTAATTCATCTACACATATAAGTTCACCAGACACTCCAGCCCTTCCTTGGCAGATAAGGTCTCCCCATCACTGAGCAGAAAACGGGCCCATTCAGTGAAATGAAGGCTGCGTGCAAGGCTGGAGCCAGGCCAGGGGGAGATGAGGGAGGCACACAAGGTGCGAAACTCAAGGAGGTCCTTATTCTTAGGTTTGTGAACGCGTCTGCTGCATAATCCTGACAGTGAAGGTCCCCTTAGATTTTGTGCCCCCAGGGCCTTGCTGGCCTCACAAGAGTCACGTCTCCGGCCAACCATGTCCATTCCTTTTTCTTAAGCTCGCTGGCCAGGTAAATCACTCCTCCCCTAGGGAGACTGAGTATGAGGACAAAGAGAGACCAGGGCGTGGTATTCTAGTGGATGTGTCTACATGTGGAAAGAGAGGAGGGGAAAGGACTCACTCCTTCAGAGGGGTGTTAGGAGTGAGTCACCAAGACCATACAACCAGCAGAGACAGGACTTCTGATTTCCCTTTCAAAAGAAGATATAGTGCAGCTTAGAGGAATTAAAATCACTAGAGGACTCTTAACCAGATCTTTATTAGTACTATTGTTATTGTTTTGCCTTCACAACACTTTTAGATGACTTGGAAATATATATATATTCATATACAGTTGATAAGGCCATGTAAAAATGAAAGCAGACAGTGACGTTATAGCCACTAGCCAAGGAGCACCTAGAGCCACCAGAAGCTGTAAGCAAAGGAGCACTCTTCTCTAGAGCCTGTGAAGAGATTAAGGCCCTGCCAATCAATACCTCGATTTTAGTTAGACTTCTCACCTCTAGAACTGTGAGAGAATAAATTTCTATTGTTTTAAGCCACCAAATTTATGGTAATTTGTTACAGAAGTCCTAGGAAACTAATACATAGGGCAGATATATGCTTTTTAAAGCTCTGTATTAGCTAACTATTATTCCAAAACCTAGTGGCTTAAAACAATAATATCTCAGCTGGTGCAGTAGCAGGCACGTGTACTCCCAGCCAGCTGGTGGACACCTTGAGCCAAGGGGTTTGAGGTTGTGGTGAGCAATGATCAAGCCTGTGAATAGCCACTGCATTCCAGTTTGGGAAACATAGGGAGACTGTTGTCTCTAAAACAAGACAAAACAAAACAACCCAGTGTCTTACATAGTTTCTGTAGTCCAGAAGTTTGGGAAGAACTTAGCTGGGTGGTTCTGGCTCAGGAGCTCTCATGAGGTTGCAATCAAGAAGTTGATGAGGGCTTCTCAAGACTTGACTGTGTGTTAGAAAATCTGCTTCCAAGATGGCTCATTCACAAGGCTGGCAAGTTAGTGCAGGGTGTTGGCAGGAAGCCTGAGTTCTTTGCCATGTGGACCTTTCCCTTGGACTGTGTGAGTGTTCTCATAACTTGGTGGCTGATTTCTGCCAAACGAGTGAGCCAAGAAAGAGCAAAGTGGAAACTGCAATATCTTTTATCCTCAGAAGTCACATGTTCTCAATTCCTCAGTATTCGACTCTTTGCACAGGTCATTCCTTTAGGTTGTAGGAAGGGGCTAGACAAAGGCAGGAATATTGGGAGGTGAGAACCATTGGCAGACAAAGGGGCTAGACAAAGGCAGGAATATTGGGAGGTGAGGTCCATCTTGGAGACTGGCTAGGACAAGTCTGAAAATTTTCAGAGTATTTCTGAAGCTAGAATATTTTCTGTACATTCACCTAAACAATTTATATCTGGAGCTGTCATATGAAACAATATAAAATACTCTTTGGAGTAAGAACCTGAATTAATACAAGTTATTTGAATTTTTTT